TGTCCTTAAGTAAACTTGTTCTCTATATTATACAAAATATAATTATAAATTCTGGACAATTTGGCTTTTTTTTTTTTCATCACACAATAGACTAAAATATAATTCCAAAAACTTTCGTTACGCACTGTAATTAGGGAGGGGTGGACCCAAATATAGTCAATCAGAGATTGAGACCAGTATGTTTGTGTGTCGTGATAGCTTGTGAATTGGGGATTGCTGTCAGAGGTGGTTGCTACATCTATGAGGTTGTTGAAGTGGGGTAGTAGATGGCTCTTGAGTGCTGCCAATAACCCAAATATTATCTGGAGTTAATATCTCTGGATATTCTTCAACCAGCTATTTAATTTGAGTAAACAAATATGGTTATTGATTTAATGTACAAATCAGAGTTATAAGTTAGAGTATTATAATTGATACTATTGGTATTAGTATGTGAAATAATTTACCTTATAAAAATCAAGTGACTGAGCATTCTGTCCATCTACTACTATTTGTTTGAGTATCACTTTTGTCAATTTATTTGTTGGTTCTAACCAATCAGCTATATTAATATGTGTGCATCCATGGCATAATGATACCATCTCTTGTATGTTTGTCAACAGAGAGTATTCTATCCATTGTATGTAGGATCATAGTCATTCTTTGTTTTTTTTCCATGATTCCATAATAAATGAATCCAATGACTTGTTGCCAGTCGTCCAATCTAGAGGTCTTGGTGTTTTACATTCAAAACAGAATGCATTTATCTTGGCTTCTAACCGTTCTGTACATGCCAGACATATTCCAATCTCATTTACTTCTTTTATTAGATAATACTCTTTTTCACTTGCATCATATGTAAATCCAATGGTCACCCAAACATTATCAATAAAAATATCCGGATGCTCAACACATAACTAATGAAAATACATGTAATATATTATTAATTTATTAATTATCCAACAATTCAATAAAAACGAATATCTTACCTCGTCATAATATGAATCATCTGTCTCATCAGTTATCTCAAGTGGGGACAAAATAATACCACAACTGACTGAAACGTTGTTCTTACATACGGAAACAACCGTGACAGTCGCGATTTGTGTTACACTAGGCGTGTCCGGTTCATTTCATCGAAAACCAATGATAAGTGCGATAAACAATGTGTCACGTGAAATGAGTGTCGGTGATCGGTGAAATGAGTGTCGACGAAATAAATGCCTCCCCTCCCCATATTATCACTATCACCGGAATCAGTTTAAGTAAATTTATACGCGTGACTTGTCGGACTTGTTAACCAGTGAAAAATATTTTACTGCGACTGTCACGATTGTTTCCGTAGTAATATTCCGGAGCACACGCGATATGATGTAATGATATGTTACACTAGGATACCCGCTCAACAATATCAAGTGTCATTTAACACGCGAACACGCGTCTACTCATACATATATACACTACCCGGACAAAAGAATCGGACCCTCTAACTTTATTAATTACTCGAAATTATACATAATAAACGAGGCTGAAATTTTAATGTCATAAATCTATCACAAATAGTTAATATTTGTTGGCCAGCCATTATTTGCTATGCACACTTCGATTCTTCGAGGTATACTTTCAATCAGGTTCATTAAAACAGTATTAGAAAATTTTTGCCATTCTTCTTGCAATGTGTGTCTTGTTCCAGGAGTTCTCCAAACATGATTTGGACCATCATTCTTGAATATAGTGAAGCGACTTTCATCACTCCAAATGACATTTTTCCACTTTCTGATGGACCAATCCTTTCTTTCAAGACACCAGTCTAAACGATTTTTCCTTTGTCGATCATTAAGAAGAGGTTTAACTGTTGGTACACGAGAAAAGTCATGCAAATTTCTTGTAATAGTTTTCGTAGAAGCATTAAGTCCAGTTTTTTCATTGAATGTATTTGTAATTTGTTCAGCTGATTTACGGTTATTATTCTTAACGATTTGTTTTAATGTTCGTTGATGCTCAAAACTCAAAAGTTTTGGACAACCACTTCGTGGCTGAGTTACAAGACTGTTTCTTTTTTGAAATTTTTGAATAATTCTGATAACTGTTGTTTTAGAGAAACCAAGCGTTTTTTTAATACTGGCTTTTGTAGCACCGGCTTTGAAAAGGTCAATAATTTGACCACGTTCAGCTTCAGTTAATTCAGACATTTTAAGTCAACGATTCAAAATTACCAATCAGTTATTTATGTTTACAAAAACAAAACAAAAAAGCTGTAAACAACACGTAAAAAATGTGACGCGTTTTTCAATGCCCAGAGCATAACGTATAAAAATTTCAGCCTTGTTTATTATGTATAATTTCGAGTAATTAATAAAGTTAGAGGGTCTGATACTTTTGTCCGGGTAGTGCATATTTTTGTCGATATCTAAAAGACGGTTAAATCCAGCTAAAACGTTAAAAAACGTACGGATTACTGTCCCGTTTGCATTAAAAAAAATTTATGTTGTCCTTTTTATTATTATTCTAGTATCTCCATCAAGTCTTTGTTATCCCTTTTCGTAACATAAAACGGGAAAAAAGACATATTATTCATAATAGCAAAAAATAATAATTGATATCTCTTGTCAAATAGAAATGGCATCTTTTGCCAATTGATCAGAAAATGCAAATGCAAATTCGTCGTACTTGAATGACGACGCAAATATGAAAATCATTATTGAGATTTTGAATGACGACACAAACGCGATCTTATTGTCACTCAAATTTCTGGTTAAAAGTTTATTCAGAGTCGATATTTTTGAATGATGGCGCAAACATGATCTCGCCGTCCCGTCCTAGAGGCAGCCATACGGCAGCGGAGGTGCCACGTCTATTTGCGTTATAATAATATCAATCTTGAGCATGTTTCGCAAATGTGCCACCTGGCCGATAAAGCCATTAAATTACTACATTCTGGATTTTTTTAGTTGAATTAATACGCTTTTTCCATAGACGGTATGTTTTAGTTGCTGCTCGATTTTTTTTATACAAAGTTACAAAATATACTACTTGAATTTTAAATTCCCTAAATTTAGAATCATAACCCATATTGATATATTTATTCCGTGTTAATACGGAATACAAAATTTTGCCAACCATCTTTATCATTCAGGTATAAATATACGTCTACGTATATTTCGTGTGGACGATACTTTGCGAATCGTAACCAAGCTCGCGGCGTTTTTAAATTTTTAATATAGTTTAAACCATATTCAGTTAACCTGTTTCGGGCATATTTGTTTTTTGCCCATTTATAATATCTTGAATATTTGACATGCCTACTAAGTTTGATATTTCAAACGTGTGGCCAATATTTATTAAAGACTTTTTATTTATTGTTGGCTAGCTTCGGCATTCTTCCCTGGCTGACGGTGCAAACTCGTTCTCATCGTACTTGAATGACAACACAATCGCAAACTCGTTGTCACTCGGTCAATAAAGATTATATTTTTTCCAGCTATCTCTGCCGACTAACCCCGCAAGCCAACGCCGCGAGCCAACTTTGTGAGCCAACTCCTGCAGTGATGACGCAAACATAATCCCACCATACTCCAATAACTGGGATGGTTGTAATCCGGTCAAAAAACTATCTCCAGAAGAGCTTAGAAATGGCACGGGATTGTTATAGTCCATACTAAGTAGGTATATTTTGGGATGGTTATAGTATAATAACTATCCCAAAATATACCACTACGTTGCTACAATACTTAGGTATTGATATAATTTGTGTATCATGTAAAAAAAATTAGTATCTTAATCATTGCCATATTCTTGAAAAACAAAAACTTATACAACTAAACTTTAAAACTTTTTTCTTACCTAATAACAAGTCATTACTGCTCTTGGGTATACAATTCCGTAAGGATGATGCCTTCACATGTACAAGTACAGACGTCCCCCTCTTACTCTACAGTCACCCCTTTACAAGCACCCAAGTTGAGAACCAATTACTATTAAACTTATAGAAAAAAACCTCTATATATAGTCACAACCTCATTATCCAACAAAAGTTGCAAAGCTGCATTGTTCCCGACAGCGCGAACGACTGTATTAGTCTATAATCATGAAAAACATACAAGTAGTTTGCCAAGAATGGGCTTGTAAAAGTTCTAGATATAATAACCATGCCTAAAATTCAAAGAAATTCGAATGCAAAGTTACAATATTGCTTTATTACATAACTCCAGCAACAACCTATTCTTAAAAAAGCTTGTTGCTGTCATATTCGAGGCAACAAATTTAAACAATGTCGCAAACGTATGAATTGGTGATTATGTGAACTAATCCAATTCATATTACGTGTCAAATGTGGGTCATAGTGAAAAATAACTTTAGTTTGTTTCTTGCGGAAATTTTGGGGTACTTTTGATATTAATCGCATGTTGCCAAGCTCCATAACAAGTTTAAATCGGGTTATTTTCTACATTAAAACAGAGTTAATTGTTCAAGTATATCTATACCTATACCTATTACTATATACTTGTTAAGAAACAAATCGAAATTTTGCCGATTTGATAAAAACGCGTTTATATGCCCAATTTTTTGACGCGTAAAAATGATGACGTTTGGACATAAAATAAAATGCTGTTCACGACAAAAAGACTTCTTTGCACATTGCAAACCTTAACCACATAATTACTATGACAAACTATATTGAATGAGGGAGTGCAAATGGTGCTGAAAGACATGCACGCACACGGTTTTCCCTTTCCACAATATAAACCGGAACAACGCAGCATGCTGGTGGAAAGGGCCGCCCAAAGAAGTCTCGACAGCAGTCGGTTAATTTATTCACCAGGATACTACGATTTCAACACGATTTTTGGCCAGAAAAGGGTGTCAAAGTTTCCCATGTGCCGGTCGCAAAGCATTTGAACGACATTGGATACCAAAAAAGTCGCTCTATAGCATGACAATGCTTACCGATAACCATAAACGAAAACGGGTAGATTGATAACTGGAAGGAGACCATTTTCGCCTGGGGAGGGGGGGGGGGGGTGTGATAAGGGTAAAACAAGTTTTCGGCGGATTATGAATGCCGAATTCTATGTATAAATTATTCGGGGGACCTTCCGGAGATCAATCAAATGCTTCGAGGCAAACGGCGGTTTCAACAAAACAATGACCCGAAGCATACCAGTCGTCTTGCTAAGGCCTACCTTCAAAAAACAAGCAATCCGAAAGTTATCGATTGGTCTTTGAATCTTTGGGCGGTTGTTAAGACTAATGTAGAGAAGCGGATGCCTAAGAATTTTGACAAGTTGGAGCGCTCTATAGTGGAGGAATGAGGGATATTCCAGAAACTACTCTATTAATCTTGTAGGATCCATGAAACAACGTGAACTTGTTATCGAAAATAGGGGAGAGCGAATCTCTTATTAAATAGTTATTAATAAAATCTGTTGGTTTTTAGCTCACAGATAAACTATAATCATGCAATTTGGTTCATTCGTTGGGACACAGTGAATAAAATTTCTATTCCGGTTTTTTTCTTAACAAACTGTATACTTACATAAAACGCACGGACCTCCATTACACCTTATTGTTTGCTTCCCATTAGATTAGGAGCTTGTTTAAAAACCCCTTGCTCTTTTGAATATAAAGGGGTGGAAACGTGGATGATTGCATCAAAGAAAAAGAATCGCCTTATATCTTTATCTATCGGGGTTACCGTTTGCTTCTACAGTCGTTGCCATATTCCATTTCCAGCGTTGGGTAAACTCGTGTCTGCATCTATTACTTTAAAGAAGCAATAGTATTCTAATATTAACAATTGTTTCGCAAATGGTTAAAAGCATTGACTAATTGAATAATGAAACAAGATGTAGATACCAGCGAGTTTGGGAAATTGTTATACTTTGATACAGTTTGCGATTTGCGTTGGAAACGCTGTCGACGTTTATCAGTACGTTGACACAACGATTCCGGATAGCCGCGATGATTTTTTGAAGAGAGAACAAATTATTGCTTGATGGATCGGCCACGTGAGCAGTCATGACAAAATTCTTCCTCGCTATTACGAAATAGTCCAACCTTTAGCCAAGCAGTCACAATGTTATAGGTCCCACCCTGAACAATAGAATCGTTTATGCCTTCTCAGAGTGTGTCTAGACCTGGTGCGACGGGGTTCAAAACACGACAGATGCCGATTGGTGTCTTGCGTTTGATGATAGGTCCTGGTTGCAATGCAACGATTAAAGTCCTCGATAAGATCTATTTTCAGGCTTGCTTTTTTTTTTTTTCCTACAATTTGTGATATGTTTAAATAATGGTAGGAATTATTGATGCGCTGATAGGATGGGAAAAGTAGAGCCGGTATACGGTCAAAATTGGCTTGCAACTGATTACGAGTATCATATTAGAATGCACGAATGAGGGAGCGGGTAAATATTTGAAACATTGCATATTGTACTTACTAAAAAGTATTGTGAGATCCATAGTAGAATCTTTTGGCGCTGTGTGTGTAAAATGAATTATAAAATGCGCTATTAAGTAGGGCTTGGTATTCTGTGGAATATATGCAAAGCACATAATGGCTATAAATGTGAGTGTATAATTGACCTAAAATAGTTGTTTTAAAAAAAGCCATTCGGCAAAACGTTAGATTCTTGTGCAACCGATCGATACGATAGTAATAGAAGAATAAACAACGTTTCACAGCATATAGATGCATAGCATCATCCCTCAATCGAATGCTTGAACATGCGCACGTGTCAAAAAGCTTGACGCTATGTGGAGATTCATGAACCTGCATGCTGTTATACCAAAAACCCACGTGTATGCTATCTATAGTCGGTAGATGAGATGAAAAGGAGAAAAAAAATAAAAAAGGATATGAAACCAACCACCTATATGTGAAGTGAGTCAGCAGAGACGTACGAGTGTGTGGGCGTTTATTTCCAATAGGCACCAAAGACATAATTATCAAAAAAAGTGACGAACTATTTCTTTTGATGCGCTCACTGTTTAAGACTGTCCCACACTGCAGACTGTCAACGCACAACATACATCCCGTTTATGTTATTTTAACAATGAGGTTGGCAAAGACGTTTAGCCTTACAGATACGATGCACTCGAACAATAAATTGCTATGCTCTTCGAACAAGTCTGTATTGTTGGCATCAAGTAAATGTTGTTAATACAAGCTCGTTTCTAACAACCTTCTTTTGTGAACATTTTGGGTTTTCGGCTTTTGTTTATGGTGACAGTAAAATATGGAGGTAGCGCTACAAAATGACGTTATTAGCAAGACACTAATTCCCATACAAGGAAACTAGTAATACACTGGGGAAGGGATAATCGGACGGATATATTACACATTAGCGACAATGCTCCATAGCTATTTTTATTAACTGATTGGTACTTGTTCTATCCTGCATATTGCATATTTTATTTGAACTCGGTTATTACGTCATAGACTGAAATGTAGGTAAATTACAATTTACTGTGCGTAAGTTTAGAGAAACTGTATTGTCTTTTTGGCTGCCACACGACTCTTGTGTCGTCGTCAAACCGTCAACATCAATGCATTCAGCACAAACAATGTATGTTATGTTCCACTAAATTAATAATTTCTGATTCGAAAAAGCCTTTTTCCATTTCCATTATTCTATTACTGTTATTGTTAATTGCTATTACTATCATGTCGATTGCTGCTGTTGGTATTGTAATTGATATTGCAGTTGCTACAGTTGCTACAGTTGCTACAGTTGCTACAGTTGCTACAGTTGCTACAGTCGCTACAGTAATTACCGTTAAAGTTGTTATTACAGCCATCACAACCATCATACTCATCTACGATTTACATTAATAGTCCTTATATACCGAACAATTGAACTAATTTATCGAACTAGTATCGGTCCGTCACAAGATCACACGAGCCCAGCCATTCTCAGAAAATGGATATACTTGCCTAGAAATGTTTGTCTGGATGGGAATGTGTACAAATGAATTAAATGTACGGCGCACACCCATTTTTCCATGATTTCAAAAAAAAAAAATTAATAAAAATAATATTTTCTGTGTGACAATTAATTGGCCAGTAATTTACAGTATACATGTGCGACATTAGGTCGTACGATTGCTGTCCCTTTTTTTTCTCACACCTATCAAAGTTTCGTACTTGGTCATGCCCCTTCAATTTCGGAAAGTCAGCCGACGACCTTGCGTATAGGTGGTACCAAGATGGAAGTGTTACTCAAAAGGACTTGCTGTTTTGATGTCAAGAATTCTTTGGAGCGTTCTATATGTAACACCTCAGAGGGGGACCTTGAAAAAAATACAGAGTTTAGATACGATTGATACGTCGATAGGTGCGATACGTGACAACAAACATGTAGATTGAGTTTAATATAGATGATACTGATTGTTTAAAAATGAATAACGTTTTTCATACAATGTGACATCAAGAATAATAACAATAACACAATAACAACAATATTAATGGTAGCAGTCGCAGCAACACAATAACAATAACGCAATGACACCAAACTATAATTTTCCAGTCTTGTTAAAAAATGCTAAATGTTTTATATTTAATGACATCTCGGAACATGAATACACACTTACAAATCTCAAATCACAATAGGGCCGTCAAAAACTTGGTCTTGTGTAAATAGGTGCGATGGAAGAGGTTTCTTTGTTGAAACAAGATTTCTTTGTCTGAACTCATGTAACCATAAGAGTAAATAATGATTGGGGAAGTGCGTACAGTAAGAATAGAATATGAAATTATATTATATTTATCGATTGACGGGATATACAGTGCATTGGGTAACTCGACACAATTTCCATTACGGAACTACTCCACTACACGAAAGGCGATAAACCTATCACATGAATAGTGCTGTTCAAATATAGAAATCGTGTGGTGTGGTGTGATTACGGAGGGCGGAAAGTTGTTGTTACACTTTGGCTTTCGTTGGGGTTTTATTGGTGAACTTTATTGGCGCGAATTTAGATGCTGATCTGGACTCCGGGGGCCGAGACGTTGATTGCCGGATATTATCCCTATCAATGTGTGCGATATTGTGCTTTTATTCTATACTGAAAACTACTAGACAATGACCAGCTGCGGTTTTTTAGGACAACCTTATTACAAAAAACCTGGCTGTGATGAAGCAATTAATTATTGTTCAGGGAAAATAATATGCATCTGTAGAGTGCATATATACACATATTTACAGTGTACACATATATTCGATATATGTATTACCGAGTGGGCATAACTTCCGATTGTGAACGTAATTGTCTGCGGATTGTTCGGATCTCGTCGGCTGAATAAGTAGGTAAATGGTCTGGCCCCATTATTACCAATACTCGATACAGAATAACGCTCAAGTCTATAACGAGTAAATGAAATAATTATTACTATGACTATTAAATAAAGAAGAACGCTTGGAGTATCAATTCAACATTTCTATCATCATCTCTTACTTATCTATCTGATCAACCATTAAAAAACCTTTAATCTTTTCCCTTAATTATGTGAGCATCCGCCCATAGACATGCTTTGTACTCTCATCAAATCTGCAATCTAAACCCTAATCATTGTTAGAAACCAATGAAGGAAAGGGAACGCAAATGGTAAAAAGGTTGGGGACCTCCAAGAGACTGTAGAACTCGACAGTTATCTGTGATAAAGCGAGGCGAGTATTTCCTAGGACTGAAGATAGTGAATAATATATAACATAGTCAACACGTTATGTTACAATTAATGACGTTCTATTTATCCGAAATGCTCAGTAGGCTTTATTCTGTGAAACACACCGACAATTAGGAAAAGGTGTGAGTATGAAAGGATTTGTTTGAATAAGGCCCAACAAGAGTCAACGCCATGTTTGAAATTTGAATGTTACTCCATTTAATCTGATGCAGCAACATCCTTCAACCCCTTAAATGGGTTTTCATTTCTTAACTGAATATGTGACAAAAAAGATATCCTACTAGAGTGTTGGTTGGATATAAAGATGAACGGAATATGACATGATATAAGCGTGTTGACACTAATTTATTGTCTCACTTTCAAATGGAAAGGCATTTTGCTGGAATAACTAACATCACTTAAAGAATTCTATACGAGATTTCCCACCACTTGAATTAATGTTACTAGTTCTTAATAATTAATATATTAATTGCAACAACAATTAAGCATTGTAAATCTCTCGTGAACAGACGATAATTACACAGACAAATAGATACGCTGGTTGGGCCAATTTCTGCAATCACGGAATCAATGGGTAGGAAAATTTTAGCTGAATTGAATTATTAAGCATTTTATATTATTGCAAATATTTACTATAGGACTCATATTTAGTATCATTGTTTCTGATAAGTTGCTGTATTCTCCTAATGTAGGGATTGTACGGTGGTCAATGCGGAAAAGTTTAGGAATCGCTATGAGTTATTAATAGTACCAAGGGGTTATTCTAACGGTATTAGGGCTATCGATTGGCATTCCCATTTCTCAGTATGTATGATGAAGACTTGTCTGGCTGCACCTTTTTTCAGCTGAAATTAGCCGTCGAGTAGACCAAACATATAAACTTTGAATGCCGTTGAGATATTTTTGGTCTCAACAGTTATATTACCTGTCGTCATTCATTGGTCAACCGTATCCGTCACACTTCGCATACTCCGTTCTTTTCCTAAACATTTTAGCTTGAATAACTGCAATATAAATTTATTCAGTCTTATGCATGCATTTTGCCGTGTGTAACGCCGCTAGCAGATGTAAGGCATTAATTAAATAAATGGATGATAAATAAATATAAAATAATAAAACGAAAAATAAAAGAAAGCGGAATAACAATGCTGGATGTCAGTCAGCGGTTAGTACTGTAGTATGCAGCATGTTATTCGCTCCATAATTTCAGAGTTGAAACCACGTTTTACGCTGTTTATGTCACTGTCGACATTGGTACGACTGTGTCATACGTATACGTTAGTTGGACATATTGTACAACCAAATCGAAAAAAGATAAAAATAAGCCTGGCCTCTCAGGGCTGTCAATTTCACATCTTAAATGTGTTGTTGGCATTTGACCAACTTTTTCATAGCTAGTCAAGTCAACGTCACGTGAATATCCAACAAAGCCCCATGCCATTTCATTATACATAGAGAAACAGTATCCAATTTAATAAAAACGTAAAAAAAAAATCATACATACATACATACCATATATCATTATAACATCCCTATTAAATATATAAAAAAATTGGCTCTGCCTATTTTAAACAGCCTGAATAGCCAGATAGAGAAAACGTCAAACTTAGAATATTACAAAACATTTCCCTCGCATATTATTCCAACTTTTTGGTCATACAATGAGTCTTTTTATTCTGGACGATATGATTGTCGACGAGTCTAATGACAGCATGGAGAACAAGCGCGTAAAAATCACTACGGCCTGCGATATTTGCAGAAGAAGAAAGGTTAAATGTGATGGCGCTTCTCCATGTACCAATTGTCAACGAGGAGGTAAGAAACAATGCAAATCAATCTGATAACGGCTCGACAAAAGGCAATACTTGTCGACGTAAAATGAGTTCCTCCTGTCTTGCATTAACTTGGCTGATCAAGCACATAGACAATTGATAACGTTTATATATATATCAAACCATCTTGATAAAAACAGGCTACCAATGTGTCTTCTCCGACGCATCGACTAAACGCCCACGAGGACCACCAAAAGGTTTCGTTGCACTCATAGAAGATAGACTGCATACTATAGAGTCACTCCTGGTCAACCTTGTAAATAAAGACACGAGCAACACCAAAGAGATCAAACGTGAACGTGATCCACCACCAGACGAAAAATCCGACCACCAACGCTTCTCCACATTCAAAATACGTCATTACTCTCCTCCATCCATCTCTTCCGATCCGCAACCAGTATTTCTTCCCAAAACCTCTCCGGCTGATCCAAACCTACCCGCTCATACGAAATCCTTCGGACCAACATTTGGCGATGACCTCCCCGAAGAAGACGAAGAAGCGTTGCAAAAGTCGATCAAGTCCTTGAATATATTAAATTCGACTGCGTTTCTCCTCGGGCATCCTACATATAAATCTCGCGAACCGGCGTTGCCAAACAGTTTTCCTTCTGTGCCTCAGCCACCACAGGAGGTGGTTAAGCAATTGTTGGAGAAATATTTTACGCATTTTCATATGCACACGCCCATAATCAATAGAGCTCAATTGTACAGCCAGTTGTTAAGCACAGATAACCCCGTGTCGCCTTTGCTACTTAACGCTTTGTGTGCAGTTGGAGCCATGTTTCCTCCAATCTTGCAGGATTTGTATACTCCCACGGTTTTTTATGAGCGAGCAAGAAGTAAGTCAAAGTCGAGAAATTTATTATGATCGGGGGTGGGTGTAAATATAGGAAATATAGCAATACATATGTCAATGGCTTGGAAAAAAAAAAGTTTAAATTCATTATGATTAATCAACACGTCATAATTTTTTCTTCCTAGGTTTATTGGACAGCTTTATAGATACACCGCGCCTGTCAACAGTCCAAGCTTTGATACTGCTTTGCATGGTGGACCAATGCAAAACGGTATCCTACCGCCAACAAACTTACATTTCCATGGCAATACGCATGGCCCAGTCCCTCGGTCTCCACAAGCGTAATAGTCCAGCATACCGAGGCAAATACTGCCAAACGAAAAAACTTATCTGGTGGGCTTGTTACGCACTCGATCGCCTATCCAGTATGGCCACCGGTGACCCACTACTAATCTCTGACGAACTCTGCGACATTGATCTGCCTTCACCAGACGAGATAGAAAATCAAGAAGGAAATGTCCAAAAAATGACTCACACTAATGCTAGCATTCAGTTAGTAACGATATTTCTGCATATGGTGAAACTGACGCAATTGATGGGTCAGATAATCGAGTATTTACAGACGATGGCGTCTATGGGACTGGCTGCTTCTTGGGCACATCATAGCACGGTCGCGTGCTTGGAGGCGGCATTAATGAATTGGACTAAAGAGTTACCGCATCAGTTACAGCTCCCTACTACTCCGCATACTACGCCTTTTTCTGGACATAGTGCTGCGTTGTTTATGCATTATAATGCACTACAAGTGATGTTGTTTTACCCCTACATTTTATCGGCCGGCTCGCAAGGACCTAATGTGCGATTTAACAAGACTTATACTAAGGCTTTGAGTATCTGTATTACTGCTGCACAGAACATTACAAATATCGGAGGTACGTTTAGTGTTTCGCACGCACGCACGCGCGCGTGCACACATTGGCCCTTGATTTTCTCCATTTTAACCATACAATATGTTCTTTTCAGCAGGAACCCTAAACAACGTCTACGTTAGCACCGCCTTTCCATCGATATTTCATTGTCTAGCGCAAGCGACAAAAGTCCACATCCTCAACCTATCCGCTTCTAAACGAGGCCTGCTTCTTCCTGCATACAAAAACATATGTAGAACGATCTTCATATATAGGTTCTACGCAGAACACGGTGTCATGACCGATCTCGCAAATCAAATGATAAAGGCTCTCGAACACGTCCTTCATGCCAATCGCGAACGTGCCACTCTCAGCGATGACAATTTTAACTCTTCCGTGATAGGACCACATGCCAAAGCCTCACCTACGACGACAAAACTTCACTTGACTCACCCGTTGGCTGTAGAGGACAAGAACCAATCGGAAAATCCAGGAACGATACCAACACCTATATGTTGTCCATATTCGCCTCCAGTATCAACGCAATCAAGTAGTCCCACCGGCGGCGATCTAGCAACGCGGACGCAAAATATTTATATACAGTCGCAAGACTCTCCGATCCAATCAGTCATGAACGTTAACAACCAAGATAAAGCTCTCATGCCGATAGACGTCTCTAGTCAATACTCGTCGGAATTTTTCTCATCTGGCGTGATAGCCGTACCAACCACGTCAGACATTTCCTCGACCGACTCACAATTTTGGAATGTTGGAATAAATTTCAATTCTCCTCAGAACCTCATGAACTTTGACGAGACTTACGATACCGCATCGGCGGCGACAAACAACCTGAATTATTCCCCTTATAACGCGTCTACACTTTCTGCCCAACATCAAAATGCATCCACACCAGTTTCAATGGCATCTCCTGTGTCATCTTCAGACTTTAAAGACCGAATTATGTCGACTCATTCGCCGTTAAGTTCGCTTGAAAACGATACAGATTGCGAGAATTCTTTAACGAATGATGTTGCAAATGTCGGGACACGCCATCAGCAAAGGTACGTCTTGTTTGATGGACTTGCTGGAGTTGTTAGTGATAGCGAAGACTCGTGGGTGGGTGTTAGTGGTGCATTAATGCACAACAACTTGTCGGTGGCTTCTTGATTACTGAGGGAGTGTTGATTGGCATAGAAAATCTTGTGTGCGAGAAGTTTTGATGGTTGCTTGCAATTATGATCTTTAGAAAATAACTGGAAGAAAACAGAGCCCCTGCTTGTCGCGTGATTGATTTTCACCATTGTTTTCCTGCCCATCTTTCATGCTCATCCATCGAAACAAAAAAATCCACACAACGTCGACTATGTCATTGATGCCCCCTCCCCTCCTCTTGTCTTGGTTAGTCTGGTAAATTCGCCGCAAGTTGTATGAACTGTCGTCATATTGTCCGACGAGAGAAGGAATTGCTATAGTCGGTCGATGCAGTCACCCGCAATGATACGAATGACCGGATCTTTAGTTTGCCACCGTGAAGCTTTCTTTTTGACATACGCTTCGGGTTATACAAAATTCATTTTGGGGTTAAAGGGACTTTTGAACAGTGTGGATAATTACATGTATTATATTAATATTAATATGTACGGACTATTCGGAGAGAATTCGGCTAGACAAGAGTTGTGTTTGGGCAAGAGAATAACACATTTTAAGCGGGCGTATTTTATTGACCCTGGTGGTCGGATGTATTTTCTATTTGTTTATTATTTTCTCCCCCTTCCCTTTTTTCAAACACAATGTACTGATATCTTCGCACGCATTCATTTTTACTTGTACCATTTTCACGAAAATACTCGTATCTGTGATTTTTATATTTTTTGTATATTTATTTATTTTTCTTTTCTATTACTTATTTTATTATTTCTTATAAAACATATAGTTTTCTGCATATGCATTTTAACAATTAGGTATTATTTACATGACTCTACATTTTAAATAAAAAGGTAACTTCTTACCCGAATTATCGAATTGGCATGGGAACGTTAGAAAATTCGACCGAATAAACATGCTTTTAGCTTGATCTTTTGATCTATGCGACCATCCTGTTGTCTTAACGTGTGAATATATAATTCTAACTTTCTTGGTCAAGGAAAATGATTCACAATTTGTTTGGCTCGCTTGAATCTTTCGATCAAATTTAATAAATCAAATAATTTATTGTATACATCTCGCGACTTTTCTTCATACTATTTCGATTTACACAAGTCTTTTAGATAGCATCCCTTTGGCAGATGAGCATACCTGCATGTCTGCGTATACAAAATACAGCTGGAAAACCTCACACCCTACCTAATGCCATATTCCTACCTCATCGTATAATTGCTTACAGCTTTCTTTTACCAAATACTATTGTTATTCAGTGACAACAACAATCCTGTCCTCAGTAACAGGCGACACGGTAACCCATTCTTGTTTAAACTCTCCAAGGCCATCCTCTCCACCAGACTCCTTGTCAAGATCATCCTTGGCCTCAGGAACAATATCTACAATCTCACCACACGATAACAACAACGCATCAGCGATACTCTTTTTTGACAAATGCCCTTTGGAATCTCTCTGACGTTTCACCTTTTTCAAGCCTTTCCATTTCTCAACAGCTTTGGCAACAGTCTCACGTGTTCTTTCTTCAAAAGATTTGTTAAATCTCATTGCGTTTACATAATACAGCCCAATAAAGTATCGATGAACAAGAGTAGAGAGAATAACGCCTGCTTCATCGTCAACGATATATTGGGTGGTTGGTCGATTCAACGCACTGTATCCGTCGTAGCCTTGAGCCAAGTAATATCGCGTACAGACGGTGTATGTTTGGTTAAGGTCCAGGGGAGCGATGATGCTTAAACTGCCCTGAGACGTGGGCGTATCATCGTCATCGAAAGTTGGTGGAAGACGTTCAGTCAGGTATATGTTACGAACGCGTTTCTCGGGAGGTAAATTTGGATCGTATTCTATTTTCAATCCACTTACAACCGGAAATCGTCCTTCTTGTTTTGGAATCTTAGACAATGAACTTTCAATAGCATCCCATATCTGTTGACCTGTGATCCTTATCACGACCACCGTATCTTCAAACGGAAGTATCTCTCGTATGTCGGCCAGAGTGATTACTCCCGGACCATATACCGTATCCGATCGTATCGATCCGCCGCACAGAATAGCGCAGTCAACGTTATAACTCAAACATGATTGGTAAGCATACAGCATTAAATCGGCGACAAAGTTACCAAAAGCTGATTCAGACGATCGAACAGTTGTAGATTTACAATCCCAGGGCGTTGTAGTATATGCAACTGGTTTAGCGAGTACAGAAGATACTTCTTGTGTCGCATGTTCTACTGTTGCCTCCATTTCAGCGTCGGGTGGGACATCGCGGGTTACTTCCTTTCGAGTCACTAGTTGAAGGAGTAAATTTGTAAATGTATAATGAGCCATACGCGTCAAGGTTATTTGATTAAAATAGATTGCAGTGGGACAGCTAATTACGATATTTGTATAAAATGAATATTTGTGACTCACCTTCAATTTTCTTGATAACCTTTCTATCTCCACTTTCGCTATCACCTATTTCGCACTCTACTATACTTAATTCGCGGAAATCGGTTCCACTCTTAACTAACTTTACTCCGTCATCTTCCTGATCACCATCAATACTTTCTCTCGTCCATCCGCCCTTGATTTCGCATTCTTTTCCGACGTAATAGAAATGATCGTGTCTATAGAGAAGAACCAAACGTTGGGATGTAACATGTTAGATTTAAAAGATATAAATTTGCTTATTATTGTCATATCGCTTACCCGCCAAGTATGAGGTCGATTTCGTCCCGACATCCACGTGCAAGAACAATATCATTTGGAAGTCGCGAATGCGTGATTGCTATTACCAAGTCGACAGCATATGGACCATTGGGATCACGTAATTTAGCCGAAAGATCTTTACCTGCCTGTATAAAATCGATGTGCTTTGACGGTGGTAGACTGTCAAACACATCGAGAATTACATATGTTGACATTTGGTTATGACTATTGTTACATGATAAATGCACAATCGAGAGATGTCAGATAGAGGCTATCTACCCAGGAATCGTCTCCAGCCATTCTCTGCAAAAAAAAAAAGGCATTATAAAGTTAGATTAAACTCTTAAATTCACGCTCAGGTTGATGAACGTCTCTCTTCTAAAAGTCAGTTCACTCTGCATTCCTGTTCACTCTTCAAACATACTTCTCGACAAGCCCAATGACTCCAATCTTCAACCCGCTCTTGTTAAGCACTACAAAAGTTTTTCCCTTACCAAGAGGCTCGTTGGTATCGGGATCGACAACGTTTGAAAGCAACCAAGGAAACTTGGTCTTGGCAATGTGGGATCTGAGTGCTGCAACGCCAAAATCAAAGTCATGATTGCCTATGCAAGCGACATCGATGCCAAGACCGTTCAAAGGGGCAACCTACGAGATTTAGGAAGAAGATGTTGAATATGATTACTAACATTAACAAAAAGAAATTATACTCTTGCATTGGCAAGTACATTATGTGTCTTTCCTTAGTCATTCCATTTTCGAATCCCATCAATTTCTACAATAACTCTCTTTTCGCGCTTCTCTCTTTGTTGTTCCAACCTACCATATGCTGCCCTTTCGTTATGCTACTCTCGACACTTGGATTGAAAGCATCACCGCCAAATGTGACCAAAGTCGTGTCCGCCTCATAAGTATTCCTAAATTCTTTCACTAGCGTGGCAAAACGAGCAGCTCCGCCGACTGGTTCGCGGCTTTGTTCTTTGAGGTGATAGACGTCATTGAAGTGAAGTATATTGAGTTTAGTAGACATTTCGAGATACGGGAAGAGGCTTAGTATGTCAAGAATGGGGGGTCGGGGGTTTTTGTTCGTATGTTGTGCATCAACAGACGCGGGTATATCCCCAACTGCAGGGGACCTACCAGAAATGACAATACCATGGATTGTAGATTAAATAGACACGAGTTTATAAAGTCTTTGTTTTGTGCACTCCTGTGTATTATTAAGCCTTTGTTGTACCCTTTTGGCGTTCGTCAACTAACGCAATAGATTTAATCACATGCGAATTCTTCACTGTTTAGCAGTTATAACAATAATGGCAGGATAATTTTCACTTAATATTTTAACGTCATTAGATTGCGTTTGTGCCCACCAATCCACATAATATGTCATTCTGTTGACATATAGTGTAAAGTATGAATCATGCCCATTAATTGTCAGCCATTTACTGGAGTCGACCAAATCTATAATTTACTATTACAGGCAGTTGGACAAAGTTTGTATGAATTTGTTTAATAGTCTGCCGGCGATTGGTTCGAACAACTATTTCAAGATGTCGCTTATTTCTGTCTGTCAGTATTGGTGGTCTCCCAGTGCGCGGAGCAGGAGTCACTGTACCAGTTTTACAATACCTTTCTATAGTATCATGTATTTTTGACTTTGCATGGCTAGTTATTTCCTCAATCTCTCGTTCTGAGTGACCAAATGGATACCCTCCCATAATAAGACCACGTTCAAACTCAGTAGGCTCTTGTCGTTCAGTCATTTTCACTAAAAAATCCAAGTGTATAGGCTGAATAATGTTTGCGGCTTGTATGTAGATTGCATTATGGTTATCAGATACATGGAATTGTGATTTTGGAGCATTGTCAATAATGATCCGAAGTCGTTAAAGGTGCAGATAAATACAAATAAACTTGGTCTCTAGTTTCTCAACAACAAAGCAAGCCATCTGGTTAAAATTTTTTGCATTTTCAAATGAATGTAAATGTGTGTATATTTATTATGTGGAACCGGTGTTTAAACAATTTTAAACTTTTAGGTCGTTTAGCTTGATTTTAACTTTTTCGGTAACACAAAACGTTAGGCATATATAAATGTTATCATATTACTAGCTGACACGCTACAAATATGTTTTACACCGGATGCGCTAACTTCAGTATTAGTTTCACGGTAATTGCATTGCTCGTTATGTCAATATTTGCATTTAATTACTATCGAATAGTACCCTAGATTCAAAATTCGATTTCTCAACGAAGAAGCAAGATATTTGGGTAATATTTTATAAATACAATAGCGCTCCTTTTGTACTTTTAAATGAGTGTAACTGTATGTAAACTAATATGTGGATTAATTTTTACCAATTTTTTAAATATTCGCATCGCGTAACCTAATTTTACCTTTTTCGTAGGATAAAAGTCGGCTCCAAGGTAAATTCACAATTTTACTACCTAACATATTGCAATTTTTTGTGTATATATTATCTAGAAGGTGCGCTAAATTCAGTATTAATTTTGCGGTGACTGCATTGCTCATTATACCAATATTCTCATTTAATTACAAAGATAGGGGGTGGTCGGTGACTTTTGCCACGGGAGTGATTATAATCTAATAAATGAGTTTAACGTAATTTTCGATAAAGCAGTCTATTAGGCGTGAACGATTGGTGAGTCTGCCAATTCAGCCTAACCTTTTCATTATAATAGTATTCTGACTAGATAAAAAAGACATGTTCAAGTATTGATAATGTGGGCTAACAACTGTAGAGAGTTTGACAGATAGAATAAATTGATTAAACAACCAAGCGTGAGATATGTTCGACATGTTCTATTGTTATGAGTTAACTAATATGCTATATTTTTACACCCACTCAACTCTCTTTATATATCCGAATCGTCAAGAGGATGACACTTTTTGCAAAAGTTATCGCATGTTTTGTCTTTTTCTACGCAAAGTAACCTTCGTACAGTGTCTTATTATTGGCTATCATTTCAGTATGTTCTACTAATGCAGTTATGTTCTCATAATCTGTTACTTTAATCACACTCCCCGACGGAACATAATCATCGATATCAGATGCTCCCAAGTATATAAGAATAGCGTCCACCAACAGTGCATAGTACACTTCTCCGTCACATATCCTTTACAATTAGAGTTTTCAAAGACTTATATAGAGAGTATATATGTCTTTCTTAATTTCATACATATGTTCCAGTCCGTATTTCTTCAGCATCTCATCTGGAGTATCTTGATTATGCAGACAGTTACCGTACGCATGTACTTCTGTATGTTCCATTAATTCCCGGATATAATCTTTCCTCGATGCATCGCAATTATGAAATATCCACGCAAATAATACGTCGTTGCGTTTATTTTCGAATATCACATGTATCATAAAAGGCGTCAATGTTCTTAATTCCATGCGTCGGCTTATATACAGGTTTGCAACAAAAAAAAACACTGGACAAATTACCTTGCTCATTTCTGCACAGCCAGTATTTCAAGTAGTTTTTATTTATGCATTATTATTGGGAAATTCGATCGCCATTACTTCTAGCACTAGCTCACACGGTCTCTTTATTGATTCTACCAAACTAATTAGAGTGAGTTTCTGGAATAGAACTCCATTTTTTCGTCATAAAATGTTCCAATAAATCTAGATTTTTGGGTATGCATTTTCTCACATGTCTTTTAACAATGGCCCAAAGATTTAACAAGGCTTAAAGTCTGAACTATTAGCAAATTAGTATATAATTTCAGGAGCATATTTTTCAAGAAATGCTTGGCAGCCTGACTAGTACATATGTATGCTTTGAAGTCATTATGAAAAGGTTAACAGGCAACGCTAAAGTGTAAACAAAATGAAAGATAACAGTTTCAACACACAATTAATTGTATTCTACACGGTATAAATTGATTTATTTACACACATACAAATGACAAGGGAATTTTTTTTGGCAAACCCCTGTATCTATCGGGCGCCTCCATCGTTAAATCAAACATACTCCAGAAAGTGTCTAGTCCGAAATACGAGTAATATCCCAATCCTTCTTCTGGAAAAAGCAGCCACCATGCCTGGTTTGAACGTCTGGGTGGCATTTGAGTAATATCGAAGAATGGCGCTTCTTTTTCTTTAAAGTAGAAGGGATAATCATGAACATAATGTCTGCTTCTCGCCAGAGGGTATAATTGGCATGAAGATGATACGATTGACCGTTTTTTCAGGAGCTTCTGTAACTCTGTTGATGTTGATACCAAGCAAGCAAGCAAGGAGCGTATCCAGTTGGCCATTCATCGACTTTGGAGGTGTGCTCGTGCCCAGCCCCGCCAGCCAGGCACAGCCACGGCCACAGCGTTACAAATTTGTTATACAATCTTTTAAAGAATGGAATCAACTCTGGCGGATATTGACACAGGTCTCCGATATTTTTTGCCAGTCCATACCTACAGTCGCAAAAGTCACATACCGCCAATAAAATATAGAAAGTTCTCTTCCGGGATGGACGTACGCTTTGAATGATTTGCGTTTAGTATGGTTATTTTTTGTTAGATTAGAACATGTTGCAGGGAGAATGAGGTTCTTTATGAGCGACTTGTATGGTGTGGTTATCGCCGATTGGTGTAATAACATAGAATTGCCACGATTACTACCAACAATAAAGCCACTTTACAAACGGCCGAGCTACAATTTCGCAGCAAAAGCTTGTATTTATACTGCGAGTTTCCCATGTACAATTCTAGTTGTGAGTGTGATAATGAACATGCCTGTTTATCGCACAAGGTGAAATGTGTAGCCTTTCCAATAAGCACATGATTAAATAGCAAAAAAAATTCTGACATTATTTAGTGTCGCTCCTCTCAATTGTTATATAAGTGACCCGAGCTATAACTTTGTTGTAAAAACTCGAGTTTCGCCATAAATTATTAGTTATCGTTATCATTATCATTAAATTTCTGAAATCGGATTAAACCGAAATTTTCTCTATTTTAATATGAAAATTTAAAATTTTTGGGGGGCAATTTTTCTAGACTTTTTCTGGGATTTGGGATGGGATTTAGGGTGACTTTTGTTAATAGAAGAGTATATGTGGGTTTCAGAGGCATTAAAAGAGGATCCAAAACCAATTTCGTTTTAATCCGATTTCGTTTTAATTATTATTACGTACGTACAAGAATCTAAGATTCGAAGAATAGATTCAAATTGGTAGATCCTATAATTATAATGAAATAATGAATAGTGTCACAACCCAACACTCGTGAGCAACCCTAGAAAAGGAAATATAATGTTGTACCTCAGTTCGGGACCTGTCTCAGTTCTGGATCGAGTTCTGGACTGAAATGACTGTGAGATGGTCCCGAACTGAGGTACAACTGCTAAGGAATATTAGGTTAGGTTCACTTTTTATGCAATGATTGCAAATAGACAGGTGCGACTGTAGATAATAATAAGTGTATCTTTCCAATAAGCAAACCAACATCAGTATTCATTAGAATCGCACCAAAGCCGCGAATACTGAATAAGAATATATACCAGGTGATAAAGTGTCTGCCATGTTTTTTTATTATTCTTCTTATTAGTTTACAATTACAAATATTAATATCAATTTACCCATTCAACTCTCTCTAAAAATGTACATATATCCGAATCGTCAAGAGGACGACACTTTTTGCAAAAGTTATCATGTGTTTTGTCTTTTTTCCACGCAAAGTAACTTTCGTATAGTGTCTTATTATTGGCTATCATTTCAGTATGTTCTACTAATGCACTTATACTCTCATAATCCGTTACTTTAATCACACTCCCTGGCGGAACGTAATCATCGATATCAGACGCTCCCATGTATATAGGAATAGCGTCCGCCAACAGTGCATTGTACACTTTCTCCGTCACATATCCTTCACAATTAGAGTTTTCAAAGGCAAGAACAAACTTATATGAAGAGCATATGTCTTTCTTAATATCAAACATATACCCTTGCCAATAACCTGGAGCTTGTTGTCCCTTTTTCAGTCCGTATTTTTTCAGTATTTCATCGGAAGCATCTTGATTGTGCAGACAGTCACCATATGAATGTACTTTTGTATGGTTCATTAGTTCCCGGATATAATTCTCGCGCTTATTTTTTGCATAGCAGTTCCCAGCCATCCACACGAATAATACATCATTGCGTTTATTTTCGAATTTCACATGAGTATCATAAAATATGTCGATATTGTTAACTGGATGTGTCGGCTTAAATATGTCAAAGATATTGCCGGGCGAACCCATCGTCAGATCAAACATATTTCTCAAAGTGTCTAGTCCAACAAACGAATAATATCCCAATCCTTCATCAGGGAAATACATCCACCATGTCTGCTTTGAACGTCTGGGTGGCATTTGAGTAGTATGGAAGAATGGTGCTTCTTCTTGATGGAAGAGAAATGGATAATCCATGTAAATAACGTCTGCCTCTCGCCAGAGGGTATAATTGGCATGAATATGGTACGATTGACCATTTTTGCAGATGGCTCTTTGGTCCCCTTGTTGATAATACCAAAGTAAACACGGAGCATATCCAACTGGCCATTCGTAGACTTTGGGACTGTAACTCGCTGCGAATTTGCTATACAATATTTTAAAAAATGGAACTAATTCTGGCGGATAGGGGCACAATTCCTGTGATATTGTATGCCAATCGATAGCCTGTGCAATCGCAAAAGTCAAATACCGCCAATGAAGTATAGAAAGTTCTCTTCCGGGCGGACCGTACGCTTTGAACGATTTGCGCTTGACGCGGTAGGGTAAATTAGAACATGTTGCAGGAGAATATTCGGAGGAAAAGGGAGAAAAATGTTTGATTGCTTCTTCATACGGGTCTTTAGGGGGATTTTCTACGGTTTCTACGGTTTCTACAGTTTCTGTGGTTTCTACGGTTTCTACGACTGTTTTGTTTATAACAGTGCGCGTCGCTAATTGGTGTAATAACAGCAGAATTACCAGGGCTATTACTAAAAATAAAAGTCTTTTTAGAAACGGCCGGACTAGAATGTTGCTGCTTGTGTTTGCTACGAGTTTCGCCATGTACAATTATTGATAATTGTTATATCAACCTGCTTTTAAAAACCATAAAACCCTGTTTCAGATCAGCAATTAAATTAATCATAATTATTCTTTTAACGCATAAGCTAACCGGCGATCATTATCTCGATCATTAGTCATTACCGGATATCCCATTATAGTGATCATTAGTAATTAGCCGGATTATCCCGCGATAATAATCATTAGTAATTGACTAGACCACCCCACAACAATGATCATTAGTAATTAGCCATCCCGGGTTTCATATCGATATCTTGACATTTGTGTACAGTCGATGCAAAGCAGTTTTTGTAGGGGAAATTGTTTACGTGATGCTTTCATACCATTAATGGTAAAATATGACGTTTGAGGTGAGACCACTGCATCAGACATCCAATACCAAGAAATGTAATAGTAGCACTAACATGTTCCGCTTGAAGATCAACACTGATTACATTGCCGTTGCATATTCCTTGCATTATCATATCATTAGTGAGAAACATTACGCGTGCGCCAGGTTGCAATCGAACTTCAGCTGGAAGATTTGTACATACGTTGAGAATGTGCAATATCCCATTTTTCACCGTTAACTGTATCAACAGCTTTACTTAACAGAATATTATCTTCATTGGTAACTTCCAACAAATTGCAAAGTGAGACATTAATTTGTTCGGCCGATTGCTTATATCCGACAATGGATGTAGTATTGAATAAATTCATAGATGAAGTTACGGTGGAATACTGTAAATGTTTTGCTTCAAGCATTTACCATGAAGCATCCGAAATTTTACCAGTGCGTACTTCTTCTAGTAACATAAGAAATTTCCGTCTCCTGATTGTCGTTGTGGATTGTATAGAAAAAGTGGATAGAAGAGTTGCCATATCGGTGCATTGAATACAGCGGATTCATGAACAGGAGGTAACTGAAACAGGTCACCTACGACAAGAACGTTAATGCCTCCAAAATGTTTGTGATTTCGGTGTAGTCTAGCGAATAAGTCGGAAATTAGTGTAAGCAAGCTTGCAAATACCATAGATATTTCATCTATAATAAGTGTGCTGATTTGTTGTATTTTTTTGTTGACTTTCTTCATTTTCGAATATAAGCGTTTAGTAAGACGAGTTGTAATTTGTAGTTGTGGATGATATTTTTAAGGCTACACCTGTTGGAGCTAGTACCATATTTTTTTTCCCCACACTTTGTAGATGCCATACGAAACTGGTGTATGACAAAAGACTTTCCAGTACCAGCAGGACCTGTTAGAAAGAAATAAGGCCACTGCTTGATATGAGAACCTTTCAAGTTCGATAGAATAGTTATTGCTTTATATTGATCCAAGTGTGCAATAGCTGAGTTTGGCATAATGCGTGGAAGTTTTTAAGCTTTCCAATTGAAATTTAATAATGTCAGTACAGTCAACTGCCGATAATTCGACCTTATTTATACGTTAATTCGACCGCTGGTTACAGAACATTTTTTGACATTGTTATTATTTCTATTGTAATTAACTGACGATAATTCGACTTGTACGTTAATTCGATCGATAACCTCGGATCGAATTATAGGCAGTTGACTGTATTCGGAAAAGCACTTTGTTGCTGTAATGATTGTAAATGGATGCAAATTGATGTTCAAAGTGTGACGTCTTTTGACTTATATATGAACGAGTTTCTTCAATTAGCGTTTCTGCTTCATGCGAGATAATGCTCTCTATAACTATTATAAGAGCCTAAAAGTTCTGTCTCCGATCTCCAGGGCTTCGTTTGCAATAAACGATAGTAAAAAATGATTCTCCATCGCTCAATTTGAGAAAGCAGGTAATAATTGTCATCATTATATCAAGCACATTTTGTTATAACTGACTTGGTTCCAGAAAAGAACATCTCTTAGGCCAACTTTATCTTATCAGAGATTATTTTACAGCTTCCCCTTCCATTAATGCTACCTGTTGTACCTCAGTTGAGAACCTGTCTCAGTTCTGGACCGAGACAACTGAGTTCTGGGCTGAGTGTCTGGGTTCGGAACTGAGACAGGTCCCAAACTCAGACACAACATACCTACTATAACTAGTTCATGTTATGCAAATAGACAGGTGCGACTGTAGATAATAATAAGTGTATCCTTCCAATAAGCAAATCAACATCAGTATTCATTAGTAATAAAACACCGTCTGTAAACCAAAAGCCGCGAATACTTACCGAGAGAATAACCAGGAAGTGTAATTACGATAAGAATATATACCACGTGATAAAGTGTCTGCCATGTTTTATTATTATCAGTTTACCCATTCAACTCTCTCTAAAAATGTACATATCTCCGAGTCGTCAAGAGGACGACACTTTTTGCAAAAGTTCTTATGTGTCTTGTCTTTTTTCCACGCAAAGTAACTTTCGTACAGTGTCTTATTATTGGCTATCATTTCGGTATGTTCTACTAATGCACTTATACTCTCATAATCCGTTACTTTAATCATACTTCCAGGCGGGGCATAATCATCGATATCAGACGCTCCCATGTATATAGGAATAGCGTCCGCCAACAGTGCATTGTACACTTTCTCCGTCACATATCCTTCACAATTAGAGTTTTCAAAGGCAAGAACAAACTTATATGAAGAGCATATGTCTTTCTTAATATCATACATATGCTCTTTCCAATAACCTGGAGCTTGTCCTTTTTCCAGTCCGTATTTCTTCAATATCTCATCGGAAGCATCTTGATTGTGCAGACAGTTACCATATGAATGTACTTTTGTATGGTTCATTAGTTCCCGGACATAATTCTCACGCTTATTGTTTGCATAACAGTTCCCAGCCATCCACACGAATAATACGTCATTGCGTTTATTTTCGAATTTCACACGAGTATCATAAAATATGTCGATATTGTTAACTGGATATGTCGGCTTAAATATGTCAAATATAGCATCGGGCGAACCCATCGTCAGATCAAACATACTCCAGAAAGTGTCTAGTCCAACAAACGGATAATATCCCAATCCTTCATCTGGGAAATACATCCACCATGTCTGGTTTGAACGTCTGGGTGGCATTTGGATAATATCAAAGAATGGCGCTTCTTCTTCTTTGAAGTAGAAGGGATAATCGACGAATATAACGTCAGTTTCTCGCCAGAGGGTATAATTGGCATGAATATAGTACGATTGACCATTTTTGCATGTGCCTTTGTCATTTCCTTGAAATATATACCAAAACACACAAGGAGCGTATCCAATTGGCCATGGATTGACTGTGAGAATGTGTCCCTTTACAAATTTGTTATACAATTTTTTAAAGAACGGAACTAATTCTGGCGGATATGGGCACAGCTCTGCTGAAAACTTTTGCCAATCGATAGCTTCTGCAGTCGCAAAAGTCAAATACCGCCAATGAAGTATAGAAAGTTCTCTTCCGGGCGGACCGTACGCTTTGAACGATTTGCGCTTGACGCGGTAGGGTAAATTAGAACATGTTGCAGGAGAATATTCGGAGGAAAAGGGAGAAAAATGTTTGATTGCTTCTTCATACGGGTCTTTAGGGGGGTTCTCTACGGTTTCTACGGTTTCTACGGTTTCTACGACTGTTTTGTTTATAACAGTGTGCGTTGCTAATTGGTGTAATAACAGCAGAATTACCAGGGCTATTACTAAAAATAAAAGTCTTTTTAGAAACGGCCGGACTAGAATGTTGCTGCTAACGCTTGTGTTTACTACGAGTTTCGCCATGTACAATTATTGATAATTGTTATATCAGCCTGCTTTTAAAAACCTGTTTGTCGCCAAACAGATCAGCCACATTATTCTTTTAACGATATTCGACTTTATAGGGAGACCGTTCCTTCTTTGTAAGGACCACAAGTGCTTTGCCATTTTCCAGTCTTAGTATGGTCGGAATCGACTGCATATATTGTAAAATGTATTTGTGAATATCTTTTTATATGCAGTCGAAGCTCGTTGTAATAGAACTCTATTATAGTACGGGTTCTGTGACAAAAAAGTTCCTTTACAATAAAATTACACTGTAAACTTCTCTGCATTATTCTCTATCGTATACAGCCAATTCTGGTTACAGTTGACTCCGTTTATACCGAACCTATTTATAACGAACTCTGGATATAACGAACCGAAGTCGCCAGAACCGATTTTTTGTAATTAAAACTGGATATACCGAATTTTTATTAGTAAATCTGTTTATAACGGACAACGAACATTTCACACTATTGTGTGACAAATTCCGTTTTAGGGTATCATGATGTTCTCACAATTATGCCATAGCGATAGCAATAGCGATTAAAACTATTTTTAATATTGTACGTTGATTTTATTTTATTTGGAAGGTATCGGTATAAATTTGGTTAGTCTCATGCTGTCAAATGCGGGGGCATTCTTCCTATAACTTAGTTATAAGTTATAAGTATAAGTAATATATATACTGAATGAACTAGAACGTTTAATTTAAAATAAACATATAAATATATTATTTAACGTTTATATTCCTATACTAATACTACCGTTGCGAATTTGACAGGTTCGTCTTTACTAAACAAATGCAAAAAATCATTCCCAGTACTTCTTTGTCGATCACTTGGTTTGCAAGAAACAAGAGGTCGATGCATACAACAAATGATATTTCCCATCCCTCAAACTTTCTTTCTATTTCGGGAAAACCTTTCATTTGCTCGCACTATAAGACTGCAGTCGGATGCCCATTGCTTCAGTTTCCACACCACAAAATCTGTGTTATACTAAAAGTATGTACTGTATGTATTATGCATATCAATAACAAATTAACGAACAAAATCTTTAATATTAATCAAGAGCAAAAGAAATAAATTTTCCTCAAATGTGATACACCCGTCCCTGATTGAGCTAAAATTTGTATGTGAATTTTGAAATGTAGACCCGATAATACCAAGGAAACCCGACAATATATCAAGGCGAAGACAATCTTTTACTCGAGAAAATATAAAGGCAATTTTTGACATTATCCGACATGTAACATGTCAGATAAATTCCTGATTATAATTTCAAAGTTGTTGGTTAACCTCATAATATCCCGTTCTTTCTTTTGTAAGCAACCAAAATAAGATAATAGTAACGTCTTCCTTTATCCTGAAGCGTCGATCAACCGGCGTATTTGTATAAACAAGCCATCAAATTCACACTTCATACTATGAACCAATCTGTGTAAGGTGATCTGTATCCTTGTACAACATCGTACATAGTATAATTACACGCACTGTTCCACAACGGAAATAGTGTGGTAAATAGTAAATTGGTAAACGCAAACATTGAGTCAATAATTACATGCAAGTTCCAAACATTGTCAAATGAATGTTTTCAACCTCCAAATATTGAATTAGACACCCAAACATTGAATCACACATCCCCAATTCTTAGCGATGAATGGTGTCATTTCCAAACGCCAATTAAACATTGAACCAAATATTGAAAACAAAGGTTCATGATTAAACCGATTCGTGTGAACACACATTGCCAATACCAAATGCAAGTTCCCAAGCATTGACTATTGCCTACAACATGTGAATTCAAGACATTAATCAATTTTGCGTATATTTCTGTTGTATGTCAGATAGGAATTTATGTCAGATCGGAATAATAAAGACCATCAGGTAACGACCTTATAAAAGTATTTTATTGACATTACGAATCAATCCTACATGCGTATAAACAACAGCGTTTGTTATAAATATGCTATTTAACGTTGGTAAGTTTTAGTGTAATAAATAAATAATCTATATAAGCGCAAGAATCTTGTGGTATTACTACTTGTATTACGTCTTAGATTATATTGCCTGTATACACTTAAATCTTACCCGAACAATAAATAATATACGCGTAACAAATTACTGCCTGTCGACTGTGACAGTTAAATATACTGTATACTTCATAACATTTTGTTGCTGTCATATGTAA